CATCTTTTGTCTCCCTGAATCCTGTTCTAAAACTTTTTTTCTTTTATGCCCAGTAACATGTCGCGTGTTAGTAGCATTATCGCCTTGCTTGGGGCGAAATGACAAAAAAAAAAAAAATGAAATAACATACTTTATATACACATAGTGTTTTGACTTTATTTTGAAGTTTTAAGTCTGAATAGTTTCTCTACGTTTTTTTTAACTATACATTTACTTTTACTAGCTACATTTAAAGTTTCATCAACAATATCAAACTGTTACAGTTCTTGTTATTGTATAGATTATTATTATTATTATTATTACTAGTAGTAGTAGTAGTAGTAGTAGTAGCTTTAGTATTGTTGTTGTTACTGATGTTGTTATTACTATTGTTACCCATCAGTGATATCCGGTAGCTCACATTGGAGACATAAGATAGTATGTCTCGTCAGTACTTCCGCTTTGTATTATATAAATAGTTTCAATTCTTCCTCGGATCTACAATCCTTTCAGTCTTTCTTTCTAACTTTTCTTTTCCTCCTCCTCCGCCCCTCCTTTCGTTCTACTTCTTTCTCTCTTATTCTGCAGTATTGAGCAGACCCTTCATCTCATTGTCGTCTTTGGCCAAGAGTTTGAGATTGTTCATGTAGAGTAGGTGTTTGAATAGTTTCTTGTTTAGTTTATATACATAAAAACATAATAAACATATTATTGTTTAGTTCATGCGTAAGGGATATTAAGGATAAACAAAAGAGAAAGATTCTTCGTCGTATATTCAAGTGGTTGGAAGTAGCAGTACTTTTGGTGTGATTTAGGTATAATGTGGTTTCCACATTCCCATGTGTTTAAAGAAATTTAATATCACCCAGGAGACTTTTGTCCATCATTTATTCTTGCCCTCGTTGGGGTTATATTGCTTTTAGCTGCTTCAAATATTCTAACATCAATAGATATGGCTTTTTGACATGTATAACACTTTTCGTATCGCCTTGTTCTTTGTGTCTTTAACTAACCACTGTTTCTGTTTTAGTATTTCCTTGATTGATGGAATTTCATTTAGTGACTTAATTTTTTTATCTCCGCTTGATCTTCCTGCAATTGCGTTTTGAGATATTTGGGTTTTTTTGTGATCTTATCTAGTATCTATATCTCAAATCTGATTTCCTTTATTTCTCGTATCAATTTTGCCTTCCAAGCTGGATCTTATTCTCCGTTGTTTGATCTTTTCATTGTCTCGACCCCAAGCTTCCCAGTGGCTGCTAAAGCTGTTGCGTATATGACATTATTTACTTCTGTGATGTTTTCCACTGGTTTGTCCGTTTACAGTATTTGAAATGCAACCTTGTATATTTGCACAATGTGCTTATTGGACTTTGTCATATGAATTTTTGTGAGCTGGTCTCTGTCTGACATTTGTGTGACAGTTACTCTGCTGAGTACTTGGATGATGTGGTTTTTCGCTTCGGTGATTTCACCGCTGTTGTTTTCAAGGAATTATGACCTAATGTTGTTTGACTCATCTTCAGTTACATAATATAGATAATTGCAGTTTATGTCGAAGGGAGATTCTTCAGTTTTATTTTCTGAGAGATTATTATTTCATTTTTCATTTATTTTAGTTTTTACCTCATCCTTTGTCATATTATTTATTTCTACTCTCATCTTTTTTATTGTTTGAGTGATGGGTTATTGTATTCTGTCTTATATCTAGTTTTATCTTATCTATTTCTGCATTCGACAGTCTTTTGTTTCATACGATGTCCCTCCAGACATTGGCAAGCATGTTTGGGTTGAGAGGGGGGCCATAACCCATTTCCTGCCATAGTTATCCATATTTGGTATGTCTGATCCATGATGTTCTTTTGTGGATTTCCGAGTGCGGTGAAGAATGATGCCATGACTTGTTGATAGTTTTCGTGTGACCATTTCGTTCGTTATCTTTTATTAGTTGGTTTGGTATTGAGTCACTCGGTCCAAGGTTGGAAATAGTTCGGGCTTGGTAACCAGGTATCTATTCGTTGTTGGAAGAGTTCGTTCCAATGACAGTTCGTATTATTTTAGTTTTTATTTCATTCTTTTTCATATTATTTATTTTCACTCTCTTCTTCTTCTTCTTCTTCTTCTTCTTCTTCTTCTTCTTCTTCTTCTTCTATTATTATTATTATTATTGAGTGAGAGGACAGGACACCAAGAAAGAACAATGGGATACAAAGATACGAACCCAAATATATCTATCATGTCATGTGTATATGATGTCTATACCAAGCACATGCATAACAACCAAATGTGTGCAAAATGCTGAGAGATTTTGATAAAAGCAGCATATAATCTTGTAATCGATGTTCAGTTAGAAATACGTTCATGTCGGGTAACTCCGTCCTCCTTGACTGTTTCCGAATGAGTGTATTCCTATTTAGCTAAATGTGACTCCCAAGTCACCTTGACTGTCTCATCCTTTAAACTTAAAATGTAACCCTCTCGACTCACGGCCATGATGCTCCCTGATTCTTCACACTCGTGAGCAGAAATGCATTAGCCCTTGGAGGTTATGCCCAACTGGTTATGTTCACGCATCAGACAAGTAATTCC